TCCCGCCAAAAAGTCCTTCAAAAGGCCTTTTTTACCCGGCTGCGCAATGCAAGAGCGCGAAGCGCGACGCGCAGACAGGGTTATGTGTTTATTACCCGGCTGCGCAATGCAAGAGCGCGAAGCGCGACGCGCAGACAGGGTTATGTGTTTAACAGTCTATATATGTATGTTTGTTCCTTTGTGGCACACTAGAGACCAAACGCCTGGACCGATTTTGATGATTCATACATCAATCGATTCGTCTCAATCATGGGAGTGCTACTAAAGATATGATAGTAATCAAAATTCAATATGGGCAAAATTAGGCGCCATATTGTGACGAAGTAAAAAAAATAAGTTGACAAAATATATCGAGTGGGGTATCACTGTCTAGATAATCAAAAATCATATTTAGGTTCCTAACACCATTTTTCATTTTATATGATTGTTTAGGATCTACAACGCTTTAAAGTTGTATATTAACCACTTACGCTTTTAATTTCAATCTTACGTTTGTATGGATTTTTGTTACTCTTTCACCTAAAAATACTGAATGGATTTTAATGAAACTTAATAGTAATATAGCTCATGTATGATAATTACATATATATAATAATCTATGTAGTTATTGAGTGAATTGGCCAATATATAGCAATAAGTGTCACATAAGACGGAAAAAAATGTCCCATTTGCGAGCCATTTTGGCCTGCACTGCAAAAACAATAAAAGTTACATGAATGTAATGTAGAGTGAAAATGTATCTCTTAAATAGTTCTAAAAAAAGTCCGTGACACCATATATCTATTTTTAATGTGTAAGTCATTACAGCTAAAATAGTGAATCAAAACTAAAATATTATTTGATATCTATTTTCAAAATGCACATTTTGTATTAACAAATCATTTTTTTTCAAAACAAACACCTTAATCGTTTTTGATATTTAAAGACGATAAACTTTGCTTTTTACACTATTTCATTTCGCCAAATATTTAAAAAGTTACAACGATGACAAAGTGATAGCGCGGTGTACTATGTAAAAGAAAAAAAAAGGGGTATTCGCAGTATCTGATCCTATACGAAGTACTAACATTAAAACTGTGATACAGTTCCTTCTTATTAAATGATGAAAAATATACACTTCTGGACACATCTATTGGCCCACCTTAGAGTTTAGGTTTCGATGGCCCCTACCGCAATATGTTTGCTAGATTGAACAAAAACTGTTGATGCAGTTTTAAACCTGATACATTTTACCATCTTTTTCGATCGTATTGTTTTAAATTTGAATTCAGAATACCATACGACATGGAGCTACGCCTAACAAGTCGGATATGCGCCTTGTTAAAGGCAATTGATTTTTGAATAAAAAACATGTTTTTCAAATAAAGGTTTAATTTAATAACGCGTGTTGCCTCCATGGGCATCTACCACAGCTCTCATACGATTAGGCATAGAGTTTATCAACCGCTCTATGAAATTTTGAGGGATCATCTCCCGTTCCTCTTCTATGGCAGTTTTCAACTCCTGCATCGTCTGGGCAACTGGCTGTCGAGCCCTAACACGTCTTTTTAGCTCGTCCCACATGTGCACAATGGGGTTCATTTCTGGGCTTCTGGCTGGCCAGTCCATAACTGTGATGTTCACATCCCGAAGATATTCTCTGACGATGCCGGCCGCATGGGCTCTTGCATTATCATGCATAAAAAGGAAATTTGGGCCCACATAGTCCGCGTATGGTATCACGTGAGGTTCTAAGCACTCACGAATGTACCTTTCAGCATTTAATGTTGGCAGCCGTGGTCCTGTAACAACCTCAAGTTGAGTTTTGCCGCTCGCGGATATACCGCCCCAGACAGTCCATGAGCCACCGCCATAAGCAACCCTCTCTTCAAAGCAGCATTGTGCGAAACGCTCTCCCTTACGTCGGTAGACCTTCTTCCTTCCATCATTGCCATGTAACACAATTTTAGACTCATCAGAAAAGAGTACACGGCTCCAATCTTGCTGTGTCCAATTTAAATGACTGCGTGCGAAATGAAGGCGCGCTGTTCGGTGGGCTCGCGTTAGTTTGGGCCCGTTAGCTGGCTTGTGTGGTACCATATCGCGTTCTTTTAACCTTCTCCGAACAGTTCGAGCGCTCACAGATACTCCGTGGAAGTCGCGAATTTGTTTTTGTATCTCAATGGAGGTAAGGTGACGATTTCTCAAGCTGGTCGTCACGATGAATCGATCCTGCCTTTCAGTTGTGACCCGAGATCGTGGCCTTCCTTGGCAGCGAACAAAACCGCCAGTCTCTAGGTACCTCCGATAAACATTTCGGACCGCAGATCGACTTAAATTAAGTTGAGCACTCACGTTTCTTTGGCTGTGTCCGGCCTGAATAAGTGCCACAGCTTGGGCGGCGACTTCAGGTGAAGTATCTATAGATTATTGATAGAACCTCACCTTAATGTTAAGAATAAGTAATGTTTGTTGCAAAACCAAAGATATCAATCACTTTTTCAAGAATTAAATCCAAGTAAACCAATAAAACCAAGTTTTCTTAGTATTCGATTGATTGATATCAACAAACAGGCTCCAAATTGTCTTTTGTTTCTTTAAATTCTGTGTTCGGAATTCAAAAAAAGACTATTGAATGAAATTGTGAATATGCCAGGTTCAAAACTGCATAAAAACTTTTTACTCGACCTAATATAAAATTTTAGCTAGGACCAAACGAAACTGAAAATACAAGGTGGGCCAATAGATGTGTCCAGAAGTGTATTATCATAATAGGTATTTATGATTATTGAATTTTAATGAAAAACTCAGAATTTTACTGTTTTTCATTTTTTTAACGATAGTACTTAATGTTACAAAAAAGGTTTACTTAATATAATGACAAATAACCCATTTTTCGCTAGTAAGTACATACTTATTGGAATCCCTGTATTTATTAATCAGCTCGCGATAATATTGGTTTTGTAATAATTCTGCAAAATTCAAAGTAAATAATGTAGATTTTATAGGTAAATCACCCCTTTCATCACCCTACGTCTATAAGTATTGCGATGTTGTAGCTAAGAACCAAGTTCCCATCTACTTCTATATGGGAATTCATTAAATTCGATTTAGCTATTAGGGCACGGAAGCGCAACAAACAAACTCACTTTCGCATCTATAATATTATATTATACTTACTAGTGATCCACCCGGGCATTGTACGGGCGAAATTTATTTATCGGGATAAAATATAGCCTATGTCACTCGGACAAAATGTATTTAAATAAAGAAAAATGTTATAATAAATAATAGCTACCTTTGATGAATCAATATTTGAAACCGGTTCAGTAGTTTGACAGATTATTTGTTACAAACATACAAATCTTGCCTCTTTATAATATTAATTAAATATTTATAATTTAATAATAAAATAAGGTAAGTATTTAATTGATGAAAAGGATTTAAAAATAAAGTAAGTAATAGATTTATTTGATTATATTTGTAAAAGTTACTTAGAATTTGTGCTTAACAGTGATACGCTATTCGGTATTTTTATAACAAAAAAAAAAATTGGAAAATAATTGCCATGACTGCACTACTGGGAGTACTCTTCATTCGAGCTTTACACTACCAATAGAAAAGGGTCGAACACAAAGTCTTTGACCTGTGAAATGTGAAAGCTTTAAAAGAAAAGTACAAAGAGAACTATTAATCTATATATATATAAAAATGAAACCCGTTTTCCGTTGTCACGACATAACATGAAAACGGCTTGACCGATTTGGCTGTTTTTTTTTTGTAGTTTTCTAATACTCTGTACAAGGTTCTTACGGAAAAAAATATAAAGAAAATCCCAAGGGGATAAAATAAGGAATGAAAGTTTGTATGAAACTTTATCAATTTTAAACCGATCGGGCTGAGACTTTGCATGCAGGTATAAGAAGAATCATAGATGAATGTCATTGTGTATAATACAAGCCTGAGAACAAAAACTGTAGTCTACACTTCAGCTCTACACCGAAGCGAAGCGAGGCCGGGCCGCTAGTTGATAATAAATGAGATTGCTATGGTGCTCTACCTAACGTTATGAAAATTTTATTATGCGCCTTTAGTTTAATTAAATATTATAAACTTTGCTTTGGTGATTGCATAATTATTTAATTTAGTCATCTAAGGCAGTTGCCACCATTGTCCAAAACAACAGATGGGAATTACTTCTTTCTTCAACCTGCGACATAAACGTCATTGATTGGTATTGTATATAGGGTGATTAAAAACATTTGAAGTTAACTTCTGGCATCTACATATTGGGTTTCCGTGAATTATGTAGGTATATCAAATTATGAGACTAAGGACTTTTGAATTTGTGTATATCACAATCTTAGACGTCCGGCATTGACATGACAATGCAGCCACTGCCAATTTTAAATAGTCGACGAATAAAAGTAAATTAATTTTATATTTACTGCTAAACTATTAAAAAAAAACATAAACAAAAGATGACTTTTCGAGTAAGTGCTAGTTTACTATAAAATTTATATACATTAGAGATATTTATGTAACGACTTGATTTAACTTCACACATTTTTGCGAAAATTGAGGCCCATCTGTAGCCTTGACCCCGCTGGTAAAGTCTTTATATGTCTTAATAAATCAATCTTTTAGACCGACGCAAGGTACTTAATAATTCCCGCGATATTTTTTCCCTTACTGAAGTAACAAGACTACGGTATATACCGTCTTAAAATACTAACTAAAAAGTGTGAAATAAAAAAGGTAAATTTAAAAAATAAAAAAACCCGACTGCTTAATTATTCTTCAAATAAAAACTGAAAAGAAAAAAACAAGTCCAGTAGTCTATAATTCTATTAATAAGGAACAAAGCTACTTTAACAGTCGGGACCCACTGTTGAAAAATATTAAGTATTCTTGAATATCTAATGGGTCCCGACTGTTAAAGTAGCTTTGTTCCTTATTAACAGAATTATAGACTACTGGACTTGTTTTTTTCTTTTCAGTTTTTATTTGAAGAATAATTAAGCAGTCGGGTTTTTTGTTTTTTTTAAGTGTGTGTGTGTTAAAAAAAACAATTGAACTCGATTTCCGTTAACATTCTTCTGTATTTTGCATCATCACTTCTTATGTTTGGCGTCCAGGGCGTTGGTTCTCTCCCTTTCCCTCCTGTCGTTAGGCTTGCCATCGAAGCGTGGCAGACCGAAGAGTTGGGGCTGGAAGTCCTGCAGCGACCTTAGGACGAGGGTCGCGTGCCGGGTCAGCTCGCGATCCAGGCGGGGGTTGGGGACCATTATTACCTACAAATACATCATATCATTAGCCTATAATGTCCCCAATGCTGGGGACAAGAGGACAAGGGCGTCAGTTCCTATTCATAAATGGACAGTGTAAAGCGCTTATTCCACCTGTCTAAATTCAGACTTTCTAAATCATCTAGTAACTACTTAATTCAGTCAAGTGAAATAGCACTTAGGAAGTTAGGATCCTAATTAGCATCCTAAATCGGAAAGTGTGGCTTCTGACTGACTAAATCATTTAGTATCCTAATAAGAACGCGATTTAGGAAGGTGTAGTGTAATAGCGTTTAGATGCTTCAGTCGCACCGCAGGTGCCACCAATGATGTCAGACGTACCAACTTCTTGGTATACATACTAGTTTTTAGTGTCACGTACCATGTACCAAGGCTATTCAGTCCTTGTACGCAAAAATACCAAGATTGGCCGTTGACCGACAAAAATACACTGACAATATAGAATAATCGACAAATTTTAGAGATTCATGTAAAAAAAAATTCCAATCAATTGTACGTGCTTATAAACGATTAATATTCTTCAATTGATGAAAGAATCGAGTATATATAGTATATTTCTTGCGTGTGTTCGATAATCACTGCCCTCTATTAACGGTCTACGAAATTGAAATGTACATTTTTTTTACTGGGATGATGCGATTTCCCACACAGCTCCCAGAATTGGCAGCGCCGCAGAGCGGAGCACAGGCGTACTAGTTTCCCGGCTCGAATACCAGCTTTCAGCCAGCTCGGCACAAGGATTTCTAGGTGCCCATCTAACATCCCTGGGTGCCACTGCGTGAGGACGTGTTGTGTCTACGATTACGAATTACGCGAGTGTGAGATGTCGGCGGTAAAAGAAAAAGAAGTTATGTTTTTGTTTTTTACTTTATTTTTATTGAGCCAACGGCCAGGCCTACGAGAAGACAGATTTTTTGTTGCTTTGACAGGACAGGAGCCATTACGAAAAAGTCCGACTGAATTCGCCGCGCGCTAGTAACTGACTGGTGCCGATTCTGGCGTGATTCTCTAAACTTAAAACTAAATTTAATATCAGTCTCTCCTTTTCATTCTGTATAGAGAATGACACGGATATACTGCTGTCAAATTTAAGTTTAGATTTAGAGAATCATGCTAGAATCGACACCACAGAATCAGTAACTAAATTAGTCAAGTGTGATCAGAAGCTTCTGATTAGCCTTCTTTTTAGGATTCTAACTAGGACGTCTGAATTTAGTCAGGTGGAATAAGCGCTTATAGAACTCAGTTGGAATTGGAATCGCTTAGTAAAACCATTCGAGTGTCGTCGCCCTTGGCTGGTGTGGGTGGGCCATGAACTTCTACAAAGTCCAAGTGCAGATAAGTGGGTGCTATCGACTGCGGATGCAGGTTGGAACCAACGACTTAACGTACCTTTCGAAGCAAGGTTTAAACGAACTATGAACCACACCATTGCTTTGATACTGGCACATTGAGGGCTACCGTTTTTTGTCTCAACAGATGGCGCCACTGTTGAGTGAGGTCCAGAATTGTAACTTTTAATGTTTATTAATAAGCGCGTGAAATCAAAGTATACATTTAAATCATATTTTAATACAAAAAAACCGTATTCTAAACATAATTGGCCATACCACAGTGTTGCGCAGCTCCGTTTTGTACGCCAAAAAGGAGGACATGATTATTTTTCTTAGCTCCGCTTTTAAATAACTGACATTCAATGCCACGTAACTCATATTTGCTATAATTAAGCCGAGTATACTAAATATTCACAACATTATTTTAATTAGAAATAAACCCGCGTTGTTAACCCACAACCAATAACATTTGACATTTCGGAGACCTCACGCTACACAAACGCCTCTAGCGGCGGATTCATACGCGATAGCCCTCACGGAACGCTTTCCATGGAAATGGTAGGGTGGTATGGCTTTATGGTAGGGTAGCCAAAGCGGGGATTTTGGATTAACTCGAGGGCGGGAGAATAACATAAGGGGGCAACCTTGCACCTTGTGAAGAACTCCCACCTGAAGCCTTTATAGAGGTTCGGACTTGTGGACAGCAAAAAAACTTTGAACAATCGTTCATGAATTTTGGTGGTATCCATATCGTCAGTCTTTTGAATACGAGCTGATGGAGGATTCACGTAACGTTTCTGATGATAGAAACATATTAATTTACCGGTGTGTATGTTTAGAGTGTATATGCTGTTGGTCGCAGATGACCATTACAGCATCACTGGGCTCGGGGACTGCGAGATCCTAAGGGGACCTCAAGCCGAGAATTGGCGAGTGCCTCTAGAGGTATTCCAGGCGGATGGCATCTCTCCACGGGGAGAGTCTCCTCTCCGTCTGGAAGCTCTACACCACGAGCACCTGAGGGGGTCGGCTCAACTAGAGGGCGTCTGTGACTCGGACCTCGACTCTAGTTAGCCGTTGTCGTGGGGGGCGGGGAAAAACGTCCAGGATTGTATGTTGTGGGGGGAAGGCTGTATGAGGGGGTAGACAGAGAAAATCGAGCGCATCAGACTTAAGAGATTGTGATTTAAGCCGTGGCGTGCCAAAAGCACATCGGTTTCATACATTTACTATGGTTAGAGACATATTTACGTGTCGTGTCGTGTCGACTTTCTTATCTCTTCTCTAACCCATGATAAATGAATGAAACCGATGCGTCACACACGACACGTTAATAAGTTCCTGGTATTATACGTACATACCTGCATTCCAGCTGCGTTGGCTGCTGCGACACCACAGGCCGAATCTTCAAACACGAGACACTATTAACAAAGACGAGAAATAAAGTAAAAAAACCAACATTATACATATTTGCAGTGGTCGGTCATTGGATGGGTGACCAAAACTCTTCTATCTCAAATTCCTCCATGCTTCGGAAGGCATGTTTAAGCCGTTGATCCCGGCTGCATGTGCAGTCGTTAGCACCCGCCCATCCGCACTGGGTCCGCGTGGTGGGTCATGTCCCAATCTCCCTATTCCATCCTTAGGGAAGGCCTGTGCCCCAGCAGTGGGGACATTAATAGGCTGATGATGATGATGATATATATTCGAAGGGAGCAGTGGCTGGTACGTGTAAGTGTATAGTGGGAATACTACAAAGGACAATGGGCAAAACGCACCCAGCTCCGCCAACAATGTAATTAGTATGAATCGATAGATCTATGAAAAACTAGCCTTTTTTATTATGACACCGTAAAAAAATATGCTGGCAGTCAAAAGATATGACAAATGGGCATATTAAATATGCCCATGTAAAGTGAATTCACTTAAAAATTAAGTAGCTAAATAAATTCACTTTATAGTGCCTTCATTTTATATTATTAGTAACCATAATAATATGCCATATCATACTATAATACCTTTCAAACAAATGTAGTTAACAAGCCGTGACGGACGTGGGTGCAGCGTCCATACATTTTTGCCCAATGTCCTTTATCATCTGTAGCTCCTTCATACTTCGGAAGATACCTAAAGTCGTTGATCCAGGCTGATCGTTAGCACCCACCAATCTGCCTGGTCGTGTGGTGGCGCATAGGCCCGTGTTGGCTCTCCTTATAAACAAAAGAAAGGCTGATGACAAGGCCGTCGCTAGGGGGGATGGGCATTATAAAAAAAATTACAAATAATCAAAAGCCTTTTTCCTTGTCCACTTACTTGACTTGATTACCTGAACAAACATTTCTGCATCCTGCAGACTCGTCGAATTCACTATGTAATTCCAATCTCAACTGAGTCAAGAGCCTACAAATGTGAAGCAGGCGCGGTCCGAAGGGGGGGGGGGGGGTCCACAGGGGACATGACCCCCCCCCCCCAAATCTAAGGTCAAATTAAAAAATCTCAAAAATTTGGCAAATAATAAAAGGAAATTTTTCTACCTGCCCCTTAACAGCGATAAATTTATAGTTTGTTGACATCTAGTGGTGTTTTTATGAACTACGTGCGATGGCCAAAATAACTTGGAAATGACAACTAGTACTAGTTTAGAAACAAGGAACCGAACCACGTAGAGATAGTGAGTGACCCCCTCCAAAAGTTCAGGCTGCGACCGCGCCTGGTGTGAAGCTTCCTGACGTCCTCCCTTCCCCCCTAGGTCATCGGCTGGCGACGCCTTTGGCTGGTGATGATGCAGCATTGTTGTACTATAATGTTCAGGTATTTTATTCGGACGATTATGGCAAAATATTTGGTTTCCAGCTTTCTTACTTTCGGCAGGAATTTCGATCCATGTGATGTGCACAGTGTCTACAAATAATAAGACAGTGGTGTCAATTCTGACACGATTCCCTAAACCTAAACTTAAATTTGACAACAGTGTATCCTTGTCATTCTCTATACGGAACGGAAAGGAGAGATTGATGTTAAAGGAGATTGCTCAAATTGGCCTAAATGCACAAAAAATATTGACATACACGGTAATTATTGGCGTAATTTATAATTTAATTTAAAGTCATTAGATTTCAACGGACACCTTTGTATAATATATTCATTTTAAAAGGACTTTTAATATTACCGGTTTGGAAAACATACGAATCATTTTCAATGGCTATGGGTGTAGTAACATTCAGCCAAAGACTGATCAAAGTTGTTTATATAACACAAAAACAAATCTATTTTGTAACGATCAATAAAATAAAACATTTTTTTTTATTACACTGTGGTATTAATATCCACCAATATATTATCATTTTCACTAGATGCAAATGTGCTCAGACAATTATTATAGATGGTAGGCGACATCATAAAGTCTATTGCCATACATTTTTCGCCAAACACCTCCATAAACCCATTATAATCTGTATATATGTTAGACTTTAAGGTATTTATATATGGGCCTACGTTCCCTGACTATAAATTAGTAAAAAAATAAAATTATAAGGTGTGATACACTAAAAATCTAAAATATGGTTATCTTAAAAACATAACAAAAATAATGAAGCTACTGAATATACGGCTATAGAACCTAAATCTCTTAGGTTTCTTTGGTTAACTAGAGTTTAAAAATTCTCTCTAATCTGTGGCTCATTCACAATCATCACACAGTTTCTGTCACAGAGTAAGATACTCTGTGACAGAAAATTATAACCGGAAATGACACCTGATTTTAAAAGTTACTCTTATGCATTAACTTTAAAAACAGGCAACTATCTGTTAATCTACATGCTCTATATAGCTGAATCTAATCCATAATTTCGGTACTTGGCTTGATTTCCCTAGTTTACTATATAACTTATTTGTTTTTAATTATTTTAATATGTTCAGTGTATATGGTTTATAGAAGTTCTCAGGGGTGTCCGTCAATAATATTCGTTTCTACAGTAATTTATATATAATTTCGAATCTAGGAAACAATTTTTCATGATTATTGGTCTTTAGGCCAAACATGTATGGAAGCTGAGCAATCTCCTTTAGTTTTAAGTTTAGAGAATCACGCCAGAATCGACACCAATGTGCGGTCTTATTCAGCTCCTGCCCGATAAAAATGAAGTCAAGCTATGAAGATAAAAATTGGGATTCCTTTTATAGAGAAGATACCTGTATCGGCTTTGGTTTCTCCGGGAATCTGTCAGCTGCTACCAGATAAATATCCGGATGTGGTTTTCCTCTGTCGACGTCTGGATCATTGGCGCAGACCTACAAGCATATCGTTTAAGGTGCGGATCGGAGGTAGCCTCAGGGTGTTAGCAGCCTCGCTACGCACGGCTCATCTGGGGGCTGTCTCGGATAATAATTGAAACAACATGAGGCACTGTGTCTCAGGTCGAGCCACCAAAGCGTGACATCAAAATGGTTAAAGCCGTGCATTATGTTACCCGAGGCACCTTTGAATTTACCTGTATTCAAATACAGTCAAAAAACCCACTTGGCCAGAGGTAACCTCACGTGCGGCCGGTTTCGGGCTGAGGCGCGTACTCACTTGATGCAACTGGGCGAGCCGTGCGAGCCTTTTTTTTTAACACTTATTTATTAATTACATTTTTAGTTGATGTAACATAATTGTGATGTAGAGGATTCGATAGTTGGTAGAGTAGCCCCATCAGAATCCGAGGTCGCGTCGAGATGCAGCCAGGGAGGTCGAATGGGTGGGAAAGACAGGGAGAGGAGAAGACGGTTTAATAATAGTGAGAGGCGAAAGAAGAGGAGAGGAAAGGAAACGAAACAGAAAATAAATAAATGGTTTAAAGGATGGGAGTAAGAGTGTAAGGGAATAGGTTTAACAATCTTGCATGAAATACAGCCATTGACGAAATATATTCAATATTAAGTGTCGCACAGACAGACGCCGCCCGCGGCTGCGGTCGGGGACGTCGTGGTTACAGAAATACACTTAGGAGAGGCCGCAGCCGCAGACGAAGCTGCCTCTAATGCAATCGCACTATTAAAATGTTCCGTATACCTAAAGGCTGATAAACGAAACCTCCTTATTATGCATCCGCTGTCGGTCATATCTTATGAACGGAAAGAGGCTTTTCTGAATCTGCTTGCTGCTTGCTGACCTGCAGCAGTCAAATTAACACCTCAATGGCATATCTTAAACATTGTAGAGTTTCTTTCGTTAAAAAGATTCCTGAACTGCTAGCCAAAAATGGACTGTTCAAAATAGTAGTTTTAGGGCCTGAGCTGCCTTAAGAGCCCTTTCACATTTTTTGCAAAAAATCGTAATTTCTGAGCACCTCGTTTACCCCCTTAGAAAAGATTTTGACTATTTCCAATAGAAGTAAACAATAGATTTATTCTCGCATTGCACAAGCTCTCAGAATGTCGATGCCCCTGATGCTCCGGGGCATCTTCATCGGGGTGGGTCCATTCGCGGACAAACACCTGGCAGGTGCGCGGCCATTCGGAAACGGGAGCCGCGACCACACCCGCCCTCTCGGCATGCACTAGGGGGACCGCGGTCCTCATAGTGCGTGTCGGGTGACGGTGCAGGAGTATTGTCTGGTTTTTAGTGGCCCTGTTCAGGGCGTAGGTAGGGCCCTGTTTATTTCACCCGACCACAGAGCTGGGTGAAATGAACAGGGAGGAGTCCCACATACCTTCTTCTCGCTCCCCCAGTGGTTGAAGGGTGCGTAAAGCATTTCCCAGACACAAAAAAAAAGGTTTAACTGTGTTGGGCCTGTCATTTCATCGAGCTTGTGAGCTGAGTTAAATGACAGGGAGGGGCCCACCTACCTCTTTATTCATGCTTCCCGGTGTGCAAGGGTTACATTCATGTATTTTCCAGTCACGAAGAAATAATTAAAGCTGTTAGATCTGGAGTCGTTAATCGGAGTAGCAAAGGTAGTAAGAGACATTAATAGGTTGATGATGGCTGATGAATACCTTATGGTGGAATAACCCGAAGAGCCGCGGGCGTGCCGTGGCGTGCAGACGCACCGCCTGCTCGCTGGAGTTGGTGGCTAGTGCCATGGGTACGTTGTGGTCGTGGAGGTGGGTCAGCAGTCTCTCTGCACCTACCGTAAAGCATAGAGTACAATATCTATCTGATAACAGCAAAACATTTGTACTGTTGAGGAGCTTGATGACGAAAGGGGTGAGCGCGTTCGTCTGCGATCGTTGAAGTTAAGCAACTTTCGCAGTGGTCAGTCATTGCATGGGTGACCGAAGATTTACTATCTCTAGCTCCTCCGTGTTTCGGAAGGCACGTTAAGCTATTGGTTCCGAATGCATCTGCAGTCGTTAGCATTCAGCACCTCAATCCGGGTTGATCTAAGATTGTCTTGTCGCAGTGTGACTAACTCCTGTTAATGACTATATCGCAAAATGACTACAAATAATTTCGTCTAGATCCTTAATTAACTACATCGTATAATGCCTAAGATCGCAAAATGACCAGTACCCCTAGCACGAACCAATATCGAATTCGTATCGTTTGCGAGTCCGAAATGTCATTGTCAAATGTGTACTGATTTTTAGTTCTCGTTACGTACTTTGTGCCGCTACTGTTCAAGTTTCCATACAAGACATTGACATTTCGGATTGTAAACTATTCGAATTCGATAATGGTTCGTGCTAGGGGTACAGATCTTTATTTGACCACATGGCATAATGAATAAATCGTATTTTTTTTTATGTTATAGGGGGCACACGAGCAGACGGCTCACCTGATGGTAAGTGATCACCGTCGCCCATGGACACTTGCAACACCAGGAGTATCACAAATGCGATACCAGCCTTTAAGGAAGGAGTACGCTCTTTTTTTATGGTTTTTGGGTCGTATTGGTCCGGAAACACTGCTGGCGACAATATATTCCACAGTTTTGTCGTACGTGGTAAAAAATTAATATGACTACATCTTTATTTGACCACATCTTACAATGACTGGGTCGCAAAATTACTAGATTGGTTGTTTTGATTGGATATATATACTAGTACAGTTAAGTATAAATTCTCTATAAATAAAAATGGATATCCGAAATGTACATATGTCACCAGGCTGTATCTCATGAACTGTGGTAGCTAGTTTGTTGAACACAGATGATGTAACAACAAATACTAAAAATATAATAAATAAATATTTAAAAAATCGGGCAAAAACACCCCATGGTATGGGCAAGGGCGGATCCAGCTTTGGCGCCAGCGGATGGTCATATAGTACAGATTGTGAAGTACCCAACAAACGGACCCAGCCCAGAGGGGGGGTCATGGGGTATGGGGACACCATACCACAAACGTTTTTGTACCTTCGCCGAGTTACCCTCCAACTTTCGCGCACGCATCCACCCTACACGCACAAAATATATGTATATGTATATATATAGTCGTGTGACGCTCGTGGCGCATTTCCGTTTCACATTTCCCATAGGATTTTTCCATTAATACCCCGTCCGAAAAAAAGTTTCGGTTCAAAAACAGATTATTACCTTTTTGTAACGGAGCGCCTGGCAGAACTTTCTTAGCAAGATCTCCGAGCTGCATTTCAAGCTCGTCGGCTGATATAGGCATCTTAAGTTCTTTCACTACGGTTGTGCATATTTCTTTATCGGTCACCCCGTACATCTGACCAAAGAAATAATTACATTAAGGGTGATGACGGGGTACAGTAAACGTAATTCTATTTAGTCCGTCAGTTAGATGATCAAAAAATAATGGACACGTATTTTTTCTTTGGGCAATCAACCAAAAAATGAGAAAGTTATAGCGCGTCAAAGTTTGGGAGTAGGGGCTCGTGACGATAAAGTAAAAATTGTACCAAAATGTGACGTCATGCGACTTTTCAAATCAATATATCTCTGCAATGTTTATATTATGTGAAAAAAGAAAAAATACGTGTCCAATACTTTTTGATAATCTACCTGATAAACGAAGAAAAATTAGTCATCGTCCCTGTTAGCATTTCACGTCCTCTGGCGTTTTCTTTAAGCAAAGTATACTTGGCATAGTATACAAACATCTTAAGTAAAACCACAAACAATCAAAGAAATATCAACAGAACACAGAATGAGGTTAAGGGCTTTGTGGGCGGGGCAGGCGCGCCACACATGTTTAGGGTTGCCACTCGTACTTTATTATAAAGTATTGTACGTTTGTACTCTATACTTTATGCCAACAATAAAGTACGCGAAAATACTTTATTTAATGTAATTTGATTACTCGTGGATTAATCTATACATATAAAACTTAAAGGTGACTGACTGACAGTGATCTATCAACGCACAGCCCAAACCACTGGACGGATCGGGCTGAAATTTGGCATACAGGTAGATGTTATGACGTAGGCATCCGCTAAGAAAGGATTTTGATCAATTCTACCCCAAAGCGCAGCGAGGGCGGGCCACTAGTTTTACATAAAATATACAAAAAGAGGTTGATAAAGATTTTCTGCGTAAAACGGGCAGAAAGTATGAATATGTTGCCCTTAGCTAATACCTGCAACATTTTCGTGGCTGTATGCCATTGTATCATGACCTCTCCCATTGCGGAAAAACTACAGTAGCCGCAATATTATATATATTAGAAGTTGCTAGTAGCAACGTAAAATATATTTTTAAGCTTACTAATAAAGTGGAATAAAAAGTACTTTATTTTGGACACAATGTACTTTTTTTCTACCTTTAATGTCCAATGTACTTTATTTCGACAAAAAAAGGTGGCAACCCTTGTAATGTGTGAGCAAATGCTCATAACTTAAACCTAAACTTGGTTCTGATTGCACCGTTGCTCTCGGGTGTGAGCGGTGTTTGGTCCTTTTTTTATCGATAGGTTCGACAAATGACTTCGCTCCACCTGATGTTAAGCGACGGTGAAGTCCAGATGTGAAGATAGCTGGTACAGCAGTTCTACCTGCCTCACCTTGCCGACCTGCATGTTGCTTCTTCACGCTTCTTTTAAAGGATCCAGGTTGTATGAAGGCAGAGCAACACGTGAACAGGCAGAGCATTCCATTTACGGATCATCAACAGCCTATCCTAGTCCACTGCTGGACATAGGCCTCTCCAATTGCACGCCACTCAGATCGATCTTGGGCTACTCGCATCCAGCTCCTGCCAGCCACCTTGCGCAAATCGTCACTCCATCGTGCCCGAGGACGTCCTACACTACGTTTGTCTAGACGCGGTCTCCACTTCAGAACTCGTCTACCCCAACGGTTATCGGTTCTTCGGCAAATATGGCCAGCCCACTGCCACTTCAACTTGCTAATCCGGTGGGCTATGTCGATAACTTTGGTTCTCTGTCGGATTACCTCATTTCTGATGCGATCCTTCAGAGAAACGCCGAGCATAGCCCTTTCCATCGCGCGTTGAGCGACTTTGAACTTGTGGACTAGCCGTACCGTCAGTGTCCACATCTCGGCTCCGTATGTAATCACAGGTAGGACGCACTGATTGAAGACTTTCATCTTTCCATTTACGGATATGCGACAAAAAATTTAGTTACGTAACGCCGTTTGATTGGCTATTGTCTTTTAAGGGCCCCATATACGGAACGATTCGTCGTTGCGATCGATCTGAAGGAAATCGTCAACGATCGATCGTTCAGAAATGCCACTACATACACGAAACGATTGATCGTAACGATCTATCATTTACTTGTTTCAAACGGTAGGATAAAGACGTACTCAAATAATTCAATACTTGCCCTCTAAAATGGAAAACGAACTCATGATTGCATGAACGATATTCATGATTGCATGGGATTTGGTTGCGATAACGTCTTCGATTAAGTAAATCGTCAACGATCTTGACATACACTGTCGATCCATCGTTTCGATCGGTCTGAAACGACGGATCGTACAGATCAATCGTACCGTATATGGGACACTGACGATCGATCGTTTACGATATTCATGATTGCATGGGTTTTTGTTGCGATCTCCGATACCGTCTGCGATTAAGTAAATCGTTAACGATCTTGACATACACTGTCGATCCATCGTTTCGATCGGTCTGAAACGACGGATCGTACAGATCAATCGTTCCGTATATGGGCCCCTTTAGGTGCATGTATAGTGGGGGCGTGCCGACCACACCGGTACCCGTGTCAACGGTTTAATGATCACCATTCTAATCTCTTTCTGTGTTGAGTGAACAGTACAATAGTACATTGTTTAAGTAACGCCGCACACGGGCCACACGCCACAGCCACAAACGCCGCCACGAGAAGCTAGAAGCGGCTACTAAAATGACTGAAGCGCGCGACAGCGGCCGACTAAGGTAAGGGAGAGAGGGGTGGGGAATCGCGCGAGTGACGTGTGGCGGCGTTTTGTATCGGCGCATTAAGTGGCCGGTGCGGGCCACAAGAAGCGAGCAACGACGATTTGTAGCGTGTGGCGGCCACCGGCGCGGCGCGGGCGTACCGTGTGTGGCGAGTCCATATAAAATGTACGAAAACTACAAGAAATATGCCGGTGGCGGTGTTTTGTGGTTCTGGTCGGTGGCCCGTGTACGGCGACACTAAGGTAGGGCTGCCATCCGTCCGGGTTTCCCAGGATTTGTCCTAGTTTACGGGTCGTCCGGGGAGCGTCCGGGCGGGGTTTTATTTGTAGTCCGGGTTTAAAAATTTACGGCAACGCATGAGTGGCCCTTGGTGCTGCAAGTGTCCATGGGCAGCAGTGACCACTAGCTGTTTTGAGGTGGTAGGTAGGATGAGGAAGACCGCTAGCTGTTTTGCCTAGATCAACATAAATAGTTGATTTGTGATATTTTTTATTGGTCTGTCCGGGTTCTAGGCTCCAAAATCCGGGGTTATCACGCGTCTTATCCTGGTTGCCACATTTTAGAGATGGCAGCCCTACACTAAGGCAACATGAACCAACAGGTACATACCCTTATCCGTAGGTCTTTCGTATATTTCTTGCCATACTTTTGACAGATTTGCTTCACCATTTCGTGGTACATAATCTCGGAATCTGTAAAACTAACACCATTGAGTAAGTACGCCAGAGGCACAAGGCGCCACTAATATAAGTCGCGGCACGAAACTCTAGCGCTGACCGTTATTGCGCAGGAGTAAAAATTAAGATGTGTTGGGGGGAAACGAGGTGCGCGGGTGGGCGTGCGTTGCGCCGATTGGCTCTCCAGTCGTACCCATGCGCATGCGCAGCTATTCCTGACGCGTTTTGTTCAGCGCTGGAGTTACGTGCCGTGACCTGTACATGGTAGATATTTCATGGTCCTCTAGACCTATTCGCTAACTACTTTTGACAGGGCAAGTGATGATCACCGAGCTATTTAGTGATCCATTTCTACTTAAATATAACACCACTACGATGCTTGTTCTGAAAAGCATCGATGGATAAGCAATTTTCTCTTTAGTTGTAGGTACACTGTAAATATCAAAAAAGTTAGCGAATAAGATGCCAGATCGAGAATTCGAAATATCTGGGTAGTCTTTTAAATTGTTGGCATTGGTCCTGTGGCACCAATATTCTCCATATTCCATCATAAAATTTGACATGCTGTACCTTGTGTATTTGTATAATATTTTAACTTGTATTTAGTTATGTTTTTATTTTTTAAGCATTTAACTGCTAGATGTTTAAATCTAAACATAAGTTCACTAGAAAAAAATCCACGCGGACCAGGCAGCAGACGGGACTCGAACCCGCACCCTTCGCTATCCTGGCGAATGCATTGACCATTATGCTACCGCGGCCCTGACGGCCGTGTCGAATATTCTCTAGCCTTGGGCTGCAACTTTTCTTTGCTTTTTTCTAGTAAACTTTTCTTTAGATTTAAACTTGTATTAATATTTTTCCCTTGTTGTTCACTTATTTATATTAATGTAATTAATCCCACCATTGATTTACTGTAACTCATTTTACCGTTTATTTATTTCTTTCTGATGACGGGGAGAAAAAATGCATTCTGTACGCCACATCATACGCCCGAGGACGCCGACGGACGATGATCCAGCATGCTGCATTCGGCCGATGGAAAGCAGGGTGCCCCTGCTACGTATAGCAGAAGGCTGCTGACCATCCGTGTTAGCAGAAGGGTATTCGCTCATACAAGCATAGGCGACCCCCCACGACAACGGCTGACTAGAGCCGAAGTCCAAGTCTCAGAGACGCCCTCTAGTTGAGCCGACCCCCTCAGGTTCGAGTGGTCTAGAGGCTCCAGACGGAGAGGAGACTCCCCCGTGGGGAGACGCCATCCGCCTGGAATACCTCTAGAGGCACTCGCCAATTCTCGGCTTGAGGTCCCCTTAGGATCTCGCCGTCCCCAAACCCGGTGACGCTGTAAAGGTCATCCGCGACCAACAGCATACACACTCAAAAAAAAAAGCATAGGCGACTACACCCCACTTCCGCAACCGTCCAGCAGCCAACTCCACGCCTTCGGCACGACCCTGGGCTTCTCTGATCAACGCGCCAGTCGGCTAATCACCTGGTGCAGCTGAGGTCCATGGTGGATAGTCGGCCGTGCTTCGTCTTCCTAACCTAACAGGGAAAACAACTCCCCGATCTACTCCGCACTAATCGAGCATGACCCCGGGTCCCCGGATTGGGAGTCACCGACTGCCTTGCCCGAACTAATTTTACCGTAAATACATAGAGTCCAGTCAGGCAAGGCAAAAATCAGCTACAACCTCCGATTTCGTTGAACCTCCTTTCCAACTTGCGCTTTTGCCCTGGGTAGATGCCACCTCTTCCCGGGGAGTGAAAATTATTGCCAACTATGTCACTTTTGTTTCTTGAGGTATCCTCCACCTACTCACCAATTTTCATGAAAATCGATGGAGATTCAACGAAATCGGAGGTGAAGAAAACCTCATTGACTGGACTACATCTGAAAACAACGTACTCGTCAAGACGATACAAACAAGCACAGTTTTCAGCTTTAGTTGATGAGGTTGCGGCGTTATATCGTCGTTAGTCCTGGGCCCCAGCAGTGGGAAGGGGACATTATAGTTGCTGAATACTGACTACTGTCTACGGGACACTGACGGTACGGCTGGTCCACAAGTTCAAAGTCGCTCAGCGCGCTATGGCAAGGGCTATGCTCGGCGTTTCTCTGATGGATTGCATCAGAAATGAGGTGATTCGACAGAGGACCAGAGTTATCGACATAGCCCACCGGATTAGCATGCTGTACTGGCAGTGGGCTGGCCATATTTGCCGAAGAACCGATAACCGTTAGGGTAGACGAGTTCTGGAGTGGAGACCGCGTCTAGGCAAACGTAGTGTATTACGTCCTCAGGCACGGTGGAGTGACGATTTGCGCAAGGTGCCTGGCAGGAGCTGGATGCGAGTAGCCTAAGATCGATCTGAGTGGCGTGCAATTGGAGAGGCCTATGTCCAGCAGTGGACTAAGATAGGCTGTTGATGATTTATGATGACTGACTAACCGAGTATGGTTCCATCTAGATCGAACAGGCAATGTGTCACTTTCTTATAACGTCTCTCTGTGCACAATCTTTTCTCTAGTCTCAAATGCGATTCGTTCACTGATAGTATGTCGCATATCCTCGCCAACGTTTGCACCGATACATTGTCTGTGAAGTTAATTTTTATTAATTTATTAATGATTGTTCAGGTGAGGAATGTATGAGAACATGACGGCAGCTTTTGAGTGATGTCTCATTTTGAATTGTCAGATCTTGGCAGCTGCTTGTCAGCTGGTTCTAGATAAGATAAATATTGAGCATAGAGAAAAGTAATAATAATAATAATAAATATTTCCGACACTCACACCAATTAGCCTAGCCCCAAAGTAAGCACTGTAAGGCTTGTGTTATGGGATGCTAGGGTAACGGATTATATATATATATAAGTATATTTATATAGAAATACATATTAAACATCCATGACTGGAGTACAAATGCTCGTATTCATCACACAAACATCTGCCCCCACCGGGATTCGAACCCGGGACCTCTCGAGTCGGCGACACCATGAAACCCGGCGTACAAACCACTCGACCACGGAGGTCGTCAGTAATATTGAGTCATTTGTAGAATTACAATCATTTAAAAAGTAAAAGAAGAAAGTTTTACTAGAAAAAAAGTCCATGCCGACCAGCCAGCAGGCGGGACTCGAACCGTTTTCCGTGTCGAATTTTCTCTAGTATTTCTTAGACTGCAAGGCGGCCCTCTTCTGAGGTGCTCGATGGCGCAGGTGGTTAGCGCGTTCGGCTGCGATGGTTGAAGTTAAGCAACTTTCGCAGTGGTCGGTCATTGGATGGGTGACCAAAAACATCGATCTCGAGTTCCTCCGTGCTTCGGAAGGCACGTTAAGTCGTTGGTCTCGGCTGCATCTGCAGTCGTTAGCACCCGCCAATCCGCACTGGGTCCGCGTGGTGAGTCATGACCCAATCTCCCTATTCCATCCATAGGGAAGTCCTGTGCCCCAGCAGTGGGGATATTAATAGGCTGATGATGATGATGAAAGTGGCCCCGTTGTCCCCGTTAAAGTTTCACTTCTATTATGTGTCCCAGTCCAGCATACATTTGGATTATTATTTAGATATTTAGATTTTTAATATATTATGTAAAAAACAATTAATTTTGATGTTAATATTATTTTTATTATGTACTATTTAATTTTATATATATTTTTTTAATGAAATTAAATTTTAGTATTATAATGATCGACATTTTAAATTTACTTTTATATTGACTTGTTATGTACGAAATTTATTTTAATGAAATGAAATTTTAATTTAATATTTGACATGTGAATTGTTTTTTTGTTTGAATTAATCTAATCATTAATCTACAATTAAAAATATATTTTACATTGCATGCTACCATAAAATTGCCACGCCCTTGCAGGGCGTCACATGTTATAAAACCTTTTGTACCCCAAATACCATGTACACACTTGTGATATGCCATAAATTATTATTATTATTATTATTTGTACTTACTATGTAAAGACTATGTTTAGTTAATGTAAGATAGAAGTGAGTAGGTACTTAAATTAATAATTCACTTGTTGTGTGCTAGAAGACTGCTATTCCGACCAAATAAAAGTGTAAAACCCAATGCAAATCAGTGTCACAGGTGATATCGAAGCGACCGTTAAAAATGTTGAATATTCAAAATACATAATTTATTATAAATGAATTAAATTAAAAATTTAAATCGATCGTGTTGTGTTGTGAGCTATTGAATACAGCAACTTCGTATGCGATGTACTCTTACATGATGCCGTTTTACAAAATTGCGCCGCTGCCGTACTGGGGGCCAATCGCCTAACGGAAATGCTTTGGGAAACGCTAACGCTTACGATTTTATATTGTTATTTCTAGCCGCCTGAGGTTTTCGAATACCTCACGCTAATTTTTTTTAATATTGTTATTACCAATGCAAAAGAAAAAGAAAGAGCGCGAGGCATTTGAATACCTCAGGCGGCTAGAAATAACAAAATAAAATCGTAAGCGTTAGCGTTTTCCAAAGCATTTCCGCTAGGCGATTGGCCCCCTGATCGGCGCGTAGGTAGATTTGCACTAGTATATATTGCATTTCACGGGTGATGTTTCGAGTCTTATTAAAATAAGTATTAATGACAAATTATAAAAATATATACATATTTCAGTAGTTCAATGATGGTAGATTAGTTTTATGAAAGTTTTTGATAGTAATTCTATTTAATTCAATATCAAAATACGAGTTAAACCTGCATTATTTTTTGAGAAAACTCACGGAGGTTAGATGTTTTTTTTTGATAATTAATGAGATGGAAAATCAAAATTCCAATACATTATGTTACAACAAAAACATATTTCTGATGTAGTAGTAATTAATTTTGATCTAATTTTATTGAACATTATTCAGAGATTGAGGCGTTTGAATTTGTTCATATTATCGATTTTTCCGTAAACTAGTATGCAGTAGAACGATCAGTACAAAAAAAGGAAAATAGTATTTTCAAATATTCTACATTAACTTACAAAAGTAGGAATAAATGTACTGTTTACTTCTATTGGAAATAGTCAACATCTTTTCTTAGGGGGTAAACGAGGCGCTCAAAAATTTTTTTTTTGTAAAAAAAGATAATGATGTGGTGTCGTGGGACACCAGGTAGGAACGAAGTGCCTTCGGCTAATGTAGAATCGACACAAATTGCAAACTCGCTTGTCTATGCGACTGTCGCGCCTGCGCACGTCTCATTTAACGGTTTTATTCCACGCACTTTTTTCCACGGATTTTTTCTTACGGTTTTACTATCACATTTTTTTCAGTTCCGTCCCGCAGCAAAATCCCTATCCCCTCCAAGCCTGCCGTAAGGAACTTCGTTCCAAAAATGTGAAAGGGCTCTTAAGCCTCGATGACACGGGGCGAGTTACAAGCTGCTAGCGAACTCGCTGGCTTGTAAATATATATATATATATATATATATATATATAAGTGTGTATGTGGGATGGGTGAGCTGCTCCATTCCCCTATGCCTTATGCACCGCCAAATGTTAGGTAATTTAAGAAAAGAAGTTTCACTTCAGATGTATGGTCCGTGCACTCAATTTTTGAAGTAAAAACTTCTTTAGCAGCGTTGTACACTTTGTTTTTTATGGGTAAAAAATGTTAAACTCGCGTCAGGTTAAACACGTGGGCTGATCGCATCATGACACACAATAAAATTGGAAAGGTTGTTGACTTTCAATATATTGGACGAAACATAGTAATATTTTATTTTACCGTATTATAATAATAAGTCTCTATCTAGGACGTCCACGTGGCAGCTTTCTTGCGAAGAAAATGCATTTTTTTTACAAAAAATGTCGCTAGGTGCGCTTAAATGCGATTCATGTAAGTTGATTTTTCTGAGAGATAAACTTTTTTAATGTAATATAATATACTAGCTGACCCAGCGAACTTCGTACCGCCCTAAAAAAATAGGGGTTGTCCAGCGGACAAAATTGTGAATCTAAACCATTCTCAGATCCCCTTGAACACACACAAAAAATTTCATCAAAATCGGTCCAGTCGTTTAAGAGAAGTTCAGTGACATACACACTCACAGAAGAATTATATAATATAAAGATAGTCATGTTTGTGTACGGTAGCGCAATAAATGAAAATTGTATTCTATCATATACATTATTGTACTTTTATACTGATAATTAAAGCAATTCGTGCAAAATTATTCCCTAACCATTCCAAAATATCAAAAATGCACAACGTTAATATTCAAGTTTTCACTTCTGCCGGCACTCCCGGAGTGCAACCCGTCGTTTTTTTTCTCCTTATAACTCTGCCCAATCTTGTATCGTGTACCTTAAGTTTTATCATGCATTTATGTGTAGAAAAATGCGCCGAATTCATTAAAAATATAAATGATATTTTTTTATCCACTTGTACCATATGCCGTTTAAATATTATAATTAATTAAATTAAGCTACGGAAATCATAAAAACAATAACCAGATCGGCAAAAGCAACATTTAAACAAAATTTTATATTTCGAGCATGCAAAATACATAATAATAAAATAAAATATCTGAAAGGGTTGGCTTAAAGACTGTGTACCAAGACTGTGTACTATTTCAATGTCACTGTCATATCCATCCCTCTCAGGTTCGAGTGGTCTAGAGGCTCCAGACGGAGAGGAAACTCCCCCCGTGGGGAGATCCTTCCTATAATCTGGGGTCCTTTAAGAGAGGCGTGAAGAAGCATTTTTGCGGGCCGGCAAGGTGAGGATGATTGGTGTAGCAGTTAATAACTGCTGTACCAGCTATCTTCGCGTTTGGACTTTATCACCACTTAACATCAGGTGGGGTAGAGTCATTTGCCTACCTAGTAATATAAAAAAAAAAAAAAAAAAAAAGATGCCATCCGCCTGGAATACCTCTAGAGGCACTAGCCAATTCTCGGCTTGAGGTCCCCTTAGGATCTCGCCGTCCCCAAACTAACTAACGGTGACCAGTGTCGTCTTTGACCTATTGGAGGCCCTGGGCATATTAGGATAATGAGCCCCTAATGGCCCCCCCGTTTAGTGATTTAACAGGAAGTCTCTTGGACTTTGTATTTGATCTGAGGGGGCCCCCTTTCGATCGCGGGGCACTGGGCACTTGCCCAAAGTGCCCACTGGGAAAGACTGGTCTGTCGGTGACTCTGCAATGGTCATCTGCGACCAACAGCATACACACTGAAAAAAAAAAACAAAATTTTTTTTTAACCATAGTTAAAAACGAAAACAGTTAAAGTAAATACAGAGGCCTAAGTATGAATTTTTGCTTGTTTGTCCTGACTTCCTATAATGCTTTGTTTTCGTAGAAACTTTGACGATGCCAATACATTATAAAGCTGTCAGAAATTCGTGTTTATACCACCAATGATTTTTGATACAACCAATCACTATCGAGGAAATGATTATTCAAATCAATTCAATTATTGGTGATTACGGCTGCGGCTCATTATATTACGTGACGATTCTGCCAATGTCCCAGACATTAAAGAAGACATAGGTGTCGATTCTGGCAGGATTATCTAAGCTAAATTTAACATCAGTCTGTCCTTTTCATTCTGTATAGAAAATGACAAAGTTACACTGTTGCCCATTTTTTTTAAACTTATTTATTATTATATTTTAAGTTGATGAATATAACATAATTGTGCTGTAGAGGATTCGATAGTTGGTAGAGTAGCCCCATCAGA